GCATAGCACATAATTGCAAAGACTATAGCCTGGATCAGGCGCACCTTAGTCTCCGGTCTGACATCGTTGCTCTTCAGTACTCTTGAGAGGTCCCTCACAACCAACTTTCCCAATGCAATTCATCTTTTGATTTCCTGGCTGCTGTTACCAAGAGTGTTGACTATGGAGCCAAGTAAATTAAAACTGTTAACTATCTCAATCTCTTCACCATCCATACTGATGCTGCCAATTGGCCCAGTGGTGAGAATCTTTAATTTAAAACTTTATTTTTGACCTACAACTTATAGTTAACATTGCAAATAACACTGAAAAAAATCAATTTGTGAACATGAAAGTAAACTTAACAGGGTTGTTAAAACCTTCTCTTAATGATCATTTAGTGTGTACAATGGGAATATTTGACAGTAAACTTCATGGTGGTGATATTCTAGGCCGACATGCTTAAGAACTTATATTTCCAATGCTTTTCTTTAAATAATAAAGTCACTAAGTTTCCTTACTGGGGCAGTCACTAAGAACAATTTAAAGTTTGTGTTTTTTCTAAGTGGGTTGCAGTAATCAGAATGCCAAATTTTGCATACAATTATTTCCCCCTGCCCTTTTTTTAAATTAATTTTAATGAATGTTTACAGAGACTTAGAGTTTCCATTCATTCATTGTTGCACTTTTCTTCCTGTACACTCCCCACCCCCCCCGCCGCCCAGTTCTCTCTTTTCTTTGAAAAGTAAAATAAAAATTCTTTCATTGTTATAAAATCCTGCCCCCAAGTCCACTCCACTGTGCAGCCTTCATTCTGGACTCCTGTCATGACAATAATACCTAATCATATATCCTTTTTAAACAATTCTCTCTCTCACCTGTTTCAATGCAGTCTACATTATTTATTCCCTCTTTCTCAGTCTTCCCTCAACTCCTATGTCAGTTCTGTTTTATAACAGTGGTCCTATGCAATATTTGTCCTTTTGTGACTGAGATATTTCACTCAGCATAATGTCCTCCAGGGTCACCAATTTTATATAATATTTCATGAGTTCCTTGTTCTTCAATGCAGCATAGTATTCCATTGTGTGAATATACCACAGCTTCTCTATCCATTCGTTTGTTGATAGGTACTTGGGTTGTTTCCAACTCTTTGCAATTGCAAACCAAGCCACAATAAACATGGGTGTGGAGCTGATGAAATCACTATATAATTGACACCACAAACCATGTACTTACATAGAATTCCTATGTATCACAAAATAACTACACATTTTGGAAAAAAAATGCAAATGTATTTGTTGGAGGTTTGCATTAATAATTTTTACTCCATAGAGTGTGATACAAATAAATAGACAAATTAAAATCATATACTATGAAAACATAGGAAGTTACATAACAACTAACAACAAAATAAATTGCTAACCTAAAAGGGCTTTTCCATGCATCTCTGAAAATATAAATTATCCTCATTCTCAAATAGCTCACATTCTAATTCGCATTTGAACACTTTCCCTTCCGTTCTCTGACAGAAGTAACCTTCCTTGTCTTAAAAGCCCTGCAGTTATTTCTTGTGGCTATGTCTTAGGACATGATCAGCTTCTATCACATATTACAGCTTTTCTCTTTACTTAACGAATCATCATAACTAAGCTTACTCGCTTTCATCTTTGGTTCCTCCACGGGCATGATGCAAAGTCTTGCTCACAGTAGCTTCTCATCAATATTTGTTGAGCTGTTTTAAGAAAGTCTTCCTTTCAGCCTTGGCTTTTTCTCTGTGCAGAAGAACTAAAAGCTGTACTTTCTTAAATGAATTTTTAAAATTGTAACCCCAAGCTGATCTGAATACTTCTCATCAATGGCTACTTGAAAATACTTCAATCATAGATTATAAACTTTCCATATCAGTCAAGCAAGCCTGAGGGTGAAATTTCACATGGATCTGGGTCAAGAACTTATTGCCGAAACCAATAGTGGTTTCTCAAGGAATGGTTGTCCAATTCACAAATTAAGGGCAAGCCCGTTGTTTCTCCACCTCCTTCTTCTCTTCTTCTAAGGCTGGCTTTATAATTCTTTATATTAAAAAAAAAAAAAAACCACATGTTATTTCTCTTTAAAGACAAGAAGAAAATTTCTGGGTGTTATCAGCACCAGAAATAAAAAATGAAAAACTCTGGTGAAAGCAAAAATTTTTAAAGCTAGAGTGGGATTTTTAAAAATCTGTCCTAAATTTGGCATTCATTCATCATATAGGAAAATAATACTTATGTGGACTGACTTTCAACCTAAATCACTATTAGAAGGTGATTTCATACAACTGGCTTCTGTTCCCTTAGAGCAACAGAGGAAGGACAGTCCAGACTCGAGGCAGATGTGGAATATGTACCTAATTGCTTCCTTGAATCACTACTGCCTATTTTGCAATGAGACCAGAGGAATTGGATGGTGCCAGTCTCCTGGTACCGAATGTTTCAAAACAATCCTGTAAAATAATCTGAACAAAAAGAGGAAATGTGGAATAGGATTTAAAATTCTCATGGGATCCAGATTTTCTGGATCCATAGAGACTGGACAAACTCTGAAACTATTGCCCTGAGATAATCTAATCCTTAAACCAAATATATCTCCTAAAGTCTTCTCAAAACCAAACAATAGCTTAACTTGACTGGAAAATAATATCTGCCTTGAGCTTTGTGTTCTCTCTATGAGCTATCTGTATTTGCTCTCATGCCCCCAAATATGGGGACCCACCTGAGTGTTGAAATTATTGGACAACATCCTTAAAATCATACATAAGTGAAAAACCTTGCCAAAAATTATTTTTAAATGGCTGAAACAGTCATCCACAGGAAACTACCAGAAATTCAAGCTGATTTCAGAAAAGGCCATGTCACAAGGAGTGGCATTGCTGATTTTAGATAGATCTTGCCTGAAAGCAGAGAATACTAGAAAGATGTTTACATGTGTTTTATTGATTATGCAAAAGGTATTTGATTGTATGGATCATAATTAATTATGGATAACATTGAGAAGAAAGAATATATCAGAACAATTAAAATGCTCATGTGAAACCCATACATGGACTAAGAAGCATACTATCCTATGCTGAACTACAAGAAGCAGTGTAGCATAGTGGATAATAATGTATTGGGCTATTAACTCAAAGGTCTGCAGTTTGAATCCACCAGTTGTTCCACAAAGAAAGATGGAAAGTTTCCTCCATAAAGTTTGCAGCCTCAGAAACTTGATAGAAGATCACTATGAGTCAGAATTGACTCAGTGTTGGTAGTTTGGGTGTTGTTATTATTTGATTTTTACTAAACAATAATAATGTAACAACATTATTATTAATATGTTGTTGTTGTTATGTGCCATTGAATCAACTATGACTCACAGTGACCTTATTAACAAAGGCTCTGAACCTTGTCCTATCCTGAGCTAGCCTCCCTGTCTCTGACACGCCTGACCCCATTGCCACAGTCACTGTGTCAATCTGTCTCATCCAGGGTCTTTCAAGCATCATGTCCTTCTCCAGGAACTGATCTCTCCTGGAAACGTGCCCAAAATATGTGAGACTGAGCTTCAGAATCCTTGCCCGCAAGGAGAAGCTTGATTTCATCCTCTTCGGGACAGATCTGTTTGTTCTCTTGGTGTCCGTGGCATGTTCAATATCTTCTCCAGCACTCAACTCAAAGAATCAGTTCTTCATCTGTCATACTTAGTCATTGCTCCGTTCTCAGATGCACAGCAAGAACTGAGAAGACCATGGCCTGGATATTATTATATAAATACTATAGTGTTATATATATTATTATTATTATGTTGTTGCTGTTGTTATGTGCCGTCGAAACCTTTTGTAATTCCATAAATTCTTGTTATTCACAGTAGTTATGTTCTGTAAGATCACTGCCAACAGTGAAATAGCAAATACTAACTCATTACTCCTAAGAAAAATTCAAGATTAAGTGTCATGACATTCTCATCAACCATCCAGTAAAAACATTTTTTATGTTTAATACACATCTTATTTACGAGATATTGCTGATTCATTAACATCGACATCACAGCCAGCAGCATTCTAACCCATGCCTGAATTAAACTGGTCTAATAAACACATGTTTTCTCCGTAATGCACATCAGGGTCAACCTGCACTAGGCAGCACTTCAGCGCTTGCTTGGGAGCTATTTCAAACGGCAAAATCACCAACAAAAATTGCAAGAATGCAAAGAACATGGCTCTAAATAGACCACACAAAGAACACTTTTTTTTATAGTAAAAGAGCTGAAACACCTTGTTCTGCCTAGCTGGGATTACATGTATCGGGCAGCTCCAATTTTTTTGCAGCTCTGTGCTGTCTCCAAATGACTGTGAAAGTGCTGCACCTAGTGATTTGAGAGTAGCAAATAAATGTAAGCAAGTAGGCAAATTTCCAGTATGGAATCTGTGGGAGATAAAGATCAACTATATCTTATCCATGAGCCCTGGTGATTCAGTAGTTATAAACGCTGGACTGTTTCTACCCCGCCAGGGGCTTCATGGGGAAAAGAGGCAGCAGTTTGCTTCAGTGAGGATTTACAACCTTCAAAATCCCACAGAGCAGTTGTATTTCAATCACACAGGGTCACTAGGAGTTAGAATCAACTTGATGTCAATATATCTTATCTTGGTTATCTTATTTTTAACATCATCATTAAGACCTATCTTTTAACATCATACTAAGTTCTTAATTTTTCTAATATGGAATAAAAACCTTTTTTATTCTCATTTTTACACATGAACACTTAAGAGTTTACATAGCAATAAAGAGTGGAGTCAGGACTCCAACCTATATCTGATTTGTAACTAAATTATTGCCACAGTAGTCTATTTTTCTCTAAATATTGGACTCAAGAAGTTTATTCCAATTAGTAGTTTAGTCCCGGTATAGATACTGTCGGTTATTATTTATTTGCTATTTTAAATTCATTTAGAGATTGCTCTTTGTGATGTGTCTATAAGAATTATTTTTCTCTTTCTATAGGGTTGTGATACACAGATGATTTATGACATGTTGCTAAGATTGAAATCCACTATCTATTTACCTGGTGACTTTGTCTGCAAAAAGGTAAGTACATGCTGGCATTCAAACACAGAACTAGTAACTACCTTGAAAAGGAGGTCAAAGATAGGTCAAGAGCATAGTTTAAATAAAATTTGTCCAAGGTGAATTTCACAGTAGATAAATAATTTTTAATATAACTTTGTATATTAATAACATGTTATCAAAGCTCCAAATAAGACAAGACAATGTTTATTTGATTATTCATGTTATAGGATGTAAATACTATATGAAGTCTGGAAAACTACTTTGTATAAATGTATATTTTAGTCATCACACCCCATTAATTCAAAATAGTTGAAGTGGGAAAAACTTACAAAAATGAAAGATTGATTTCCCTCTTTGGTGTATTCAGTAAGCTATTAACTTTGGTTAGCATATCTTGCTTGTTCCTAATCAGCATCAGATTTTTTAAAATTTTACTTTGTTGCTTATGATTATAAAAGTCCTATGGATACATTATTTTCAAATAGAAAATATAAAAAAATAACAAAGATAGAAATCCATCATGCAGAAACAGCTCCTAATACTGTCTTACCTTTTTGTATTTATTGACGGTTATAGAGAACATGGTTTACAAAATTGGCATTTATAGTATACATATATTTTGAAGTTTTCTTTATCTTGTAACAATATATTAGCAAAACATTTTATATACCACTATGCAATCTACAACTGTATTTTTTACTGATTTTTAAGCCACATATTTTCATCTATGGACCTGTCATACAACTCTCCTACTGATGGACATTTAGATTATTTTCAAATGTTTGCTATTAAAAATAATTTTAAATTACTCTTAAAATTAACATTCTCTTTTATAAATATTTCTTCACATCTCTGATTATTAACTTAGAAGAAATAGTGGCCCTAGGTTTGATATATTGAAGAATTAAATCAATGATTGGGATAAGAATTAAAATGAAAAATAGAGTTGTTGTTGTTGTTGTTGTAATGTGCAGTCGTCTGCAACTCATATACAACAGGTCTGAAACCTGTACTATCCTGAGCCAGTCTCACTGACTTACGCCATTTTCCCAGTTTCAGTATAAATCCATCTCATCAAGGTTCTTCCTCTCCTGCACTGTCTCTCCACCCTTCCAAGCATGAAGTCCTACAAGGACCAGTCCCTCCTGACCACGTGCCCAAAGTATGTGAGACAGATCTTCAAATTCCTAGCCTCCAAGGAGAAACTTTGTTTCATCCTAAGACACACTTATTTGTTTTCTTGGCAGTCCAGAGTATGTTCAATACTCTTCCATCACCACAGCTCAAAGGCTCAATTCTTCTGTCATTGTCCAGCTCTCTGATGCATAGTAAGTAATTACAAAGGTCATGGCCTGGAACAGGCGCACCTTAGTCTCTACACTTACATCATTGCTTCTCAGTACTCTGGAGAAGTCCCTAACAGCAGATTTTCCCAATGCAATTCATCTTAGAAAAGTAGAAATTCATCAGAAAAAAAGAAGAACCTCAGTGAGATAGATTGACAGTTACTATAGCAATGGATTTAAGCACTGCAGAAATGGTAAGGATGTGGCAGAGGTTCACTTTGTTGTGGGTAGATATGCTATGAGTTACAATTAACTCAATGACACCTAACAACAATAACAACAAGACAGAAAAGAATTGAGTCTGAATTGTGCCACAGGAAGGCAAAATTTAGGACATTTTTAATATTTATTCAATAAAATTCAATGAATGTATTTGAATACTTAATATGGATGGGGCATTACATTGTTCACTGGGTATATGCAAAAACAAACAGAAAGTCCATAACCACAGAGTCAGTTCAAATCCATGGCCATACCACAACCACACACAAGAATTTCTCCACCAAGGCTGCTACCCTTACAGAAGCAGAGCTCAACGGGGCTGGTCCAAATCATCAAGTTAGATTAGGAATAGAGTAAAAGCTTCTACCACCCAGGGACCTTGAGTATGTACAGTAATGAGCAAAACAAGATGCTTCTTATCCGCCAGGAGCATATAGTCTGCTACAATAGTTCTCAATTCACAGTGCACAGAAGAACAGCTATGCCTAGATTTTGGGATTCTATCCCTAGAGATCCAATGATTAAGGTGGAGCACACATATCATTAATTTAAAAAAAAAAAAAAGAATCCCTGAAGGTTCTAAAATTAAACCAGAGCTGGAAGTCACTGGCCTACCTCTGTGACCTACCTCTGCCAACCTCTGGAAAGGGTTGTTATTGTGTACCTTTGAGTTAGAACCAACACACAGTTGACCCTCCAGCAGTTTTTCAGAAGCTTCTTCTCCCTTGTAGCATCTAGTGGACTTGAACTACATGCCATTAGGGTGTCAGCATAGCTATTTACTCAGTAGGCCACTAGAGCTCCCTGACCTGATGGTGGAGACAAATAATAACCAATGAAATTCAATAACTGCATAACTATAAAATTAATTATATTAAATAAGGAAGAAAGAATAAGTTACAAGGAGTGTTATAGCAAAGGTATTTAAATAATTCGGATTGTGAGGGAATATGGAAAGGTTGACAAGTTGTTGGGCATGTAGGAATAATTTTTTCAGAAGGATTATCACAGAGTGAGTGCCTAAGAGGCCTCTGCCTCTTAGGTTAAAAATGTTCTAAATGTCCAACTTTTCCAGACTGCTGCGCCATTCCATCATCTCTAATGTCAACTGTTTCTCCTTCAAAACCTCAGACCTTTCACTCCCTTCTATGTCTTTATATCCCTTAATTTGCTACAGCAGCTTATAGAATTTTATAAACCATCAGGAAAATGGCTCACACAGTTGTGAAAGCTGGCAAGTCCAAATTCACAGATCAGGCTTGTTTGTTGGGCAGCAGCATCTTACAGAGTGGCTGGTCTAGACCGATTCACTTAGTTGCATAGGCTGGTGGATAGCAGGCCCAGGTAGCTGCAAGCTGTGGTTCCTGGAGCAGCTGGATTGGGTTAAAGTTGTTACCCAGAGTGGAAAAGATAGGAGGACCTCAGTGATATAAACCTCACCACCAAGGAAACAAAAGTGATGATTTGGATCATCCCTTCTAGAAAGGTGGGGATTCAAGAGGCGGTTCTACCATGATTCTACCTCACTAACACAGCAAACAGCTCACTCCAGAAGGGAGTCATAAGGGCAAAGAGGTTAGAAATTACTGTTGTTGTTATTGATTGCCACCCAGTTGAGCACAACTCATAGCAACCCTATGAAGAAAAGGCCAGAAGCCGCTCTACAACTATCAACATTTATTAAATTTCATAGGGTTTCCAAGGGCATGTTGTTTAGGAAGTGGATGCCACTCCTAAATTACTCTCCATAACAAAAGGGAAGATGATAGCTGGCAAGGCCATATTATTAATGCACGGCACCAGAGTCCCAACCTCTGTAAAATTCAAGGAGAGGTTCTGAAAGTTTAAAACGTAAAGAAAAGATTGTCAGTATAATAAGACTGTAACCAAGGTGGCTATGATGCTGGAGGCGATACCACAGGTGATTCAAATGCCAGCAGGGCTATCCTTGGAAGGTAAAGTTTCAACAGAGCTTCCAGACTAAAGCAGACTAAGACGCAGGACTGGTCATGACTTCTGAAATTAAAAGGCTCTCAGGAATTCTGTCATTAGTAAAAGAGTGCAGAACATAGAATTTTGGATGAAAACCAGGAATCATGGTAATGAGGAAGGTCAGAAGTTGGCATGTTCAAGAAACAAGTTAGCTACTGATTAAGAAAAGAAAGACAAAGTGGAGTGTAAAGTACGTTTGGTTAACAGATTGAGAGTGTACAGGTATAGATGAGTCTAGACCACAAAAGAAAACGGAACTACAGGGAAATGGTTGAGAGCCAGTAGTTCACAGGGTCACTCTGAGGTGCTGTTGACTCAATGGCACCTAATAATCCCCACTGACTTCATGAGAAGTTCAAGGAAAAAAAATAAAAGTGTTAAGGCTCTGACTTCAAAAATTACCCGTGTTCTAGAATATGCATATGAAAGTTGGATGACAAATAAGGATAACTAAACACGAATTGGTGCATTTGAATTGTTGTGTTGGTGAAGAGTACGGAATATATATACCATGGACTGCCAAAAGATACAGCAGAGCTGTCATGTAAAGAGGTACAGCAAGGGTGCTCCTTAGAGACAAGAATAGTAAAATTTTTTTCATACACTTAAGACCTGTTTTCAGGAAACAGTGATTCCTCAGAAAAGGCATCATATTGGAGAAAATGGAATCAGAGAAAAAGGAAAAGGGCCACAATGAGATGTATTGATACAGTGACTGTAACAATGGATTTGATAATGGCAGAGATCATGAGGATGGCCCAGGATAGGGCAAGGTTCAGAGCTGTTATTCACAGGACTGCTGTAAGTCATAGTCAACTCAACAGCACCTTATAACAACAAGGAAAAAATGCCTTATAACAACAAGGAAAAAATGATGACAAATCAGATAGGGTGACAGAGCAGGCAGGCAGGGATAGCAGGAAAATGAGAGCCTGTGATATAATGGAAATCAAGGACACACACTTCTACACAAATTAGCCTACAATAGAAGCAAACAGATTGGTGATATCAAAACATTTTCATACAAATGTGTATACAAACCACAATGCATTTTAAGGATAGCTTTAGGGCAGTGGAGCATTTGGAATTAAATGACCTTAGCACACCAAAATGGCCTTTCAATTTGTTCCAAAAGCAACAGGGACTGAAAACGGAGATAATTCACATAAGCTATAGAACCCAGGCCCCTAAGCAGTGCAAATTTGCTCAACAGTGTGTGAAATGTGGAGTAGATGTGCCCTTAACATTTCCAATTTCTTCTCTCAATAATAATAGTAAAAATTAAAAAAAAATCAGCAAACACACTTCAGGGAAAGAAGGAAAGAAATAGGGAAATGAGAGACCTAAAAACTACAAGGTACATTTTCTTGATTGTGGCATCAGACAGTTAAGTAGGTTGGAGCATCAGACAACATGGGAAATCTTTGAAGCTCTCGTTTCGTTTAGGCCATGTCACAGGATTCATGAGGTGGCCCTGCAGGCCTATCAATGGCAGGGTTCTAGTCTAAGTTTGATGACCTGCCTTTCTCTGAAGATAATTCCCAAGATGGTTACTAGTTGAGTAGCTTGAACTGCCTCAAATAACATTGTCAATTTCTCCTCAGTGTTCAATGGCAGTTCATTCTTCACAATTTAGTATGACAAAGAGCCACTGAGAGAGCTTGTTAACATATAAATTCGAAGGTCTCCATACCCAGTGACTCTGGTCTAGTAGAATTTGAACCTCTTAATGGCTCCAAGAGTGCCTCAGTGATACAAATGCTCACATGCTCAGCTGCCAACCAAGAGGTTATCAGTTCAAGTCCACCCAGAGATGTCTTAAAAGAAAGATTTGGCAGTCTATTTCTAAAAAAATCAGCCACTGAAAACACTATGCAGCATAGTTCTACTCTAATTACCCAAACAGCCCCAGTGAGTCAGGCAAACTCAATGGCAATTGATTTTCTATCTAAGTGAGGTTGATGTTGCTTGGCCAGAAACCACACTTTGAGTCACTCATTCAATCATTGCCAGTGAGTCAGAATCAACTCATATTTGACCCTCTGTTGAATTTCTGAGACTGTAAATCACATAGGATTGCACTTCTTTCTCCCAAGGATAGACTAGATGGTTTGAACCCTGAGAGGTATGGCCTTTGGGTTAACAACAAAACTCCCTGTAGACACTTTAAGTAACACTGCTCATTTCTGATGGGGTGTACCCAAATGTGATAATATACCTTCTAGCCTCCAATTGTTATTATGTGCCTTTGTGTTGCCTGCAAGTCATAGTGTCCCTAAGGACAATAGCTCTGAACCCTGCCCTAATTTGAACCAATTTCATTGTTTCTGACATACTTACACCCATTACCTCAGTTACTGAGTCAATCTATCTCATCCAGAGTCGTCTTCTTTTGTTCAGTCCCTCCACCCTTCAACAGCCTCCCCTCTGCCATTTTTATACTTTCTTCAAATTAGTACATAAGCTAACCAAAAGAGTTTGGTTTGATCTTATTTTGCACATGCTGTCAGCCCTTGTTCTCTGAGGAAAGTCTCCTTCATTTGAATGCTAATTAAGCTTGCAGCAAAGGCTTAAATTAGCCTAGAAATATGCAAGAAATAGTGGAAGTTTTGGTTGGTTGATTATGCCAGATCTCCTTGGAAAATTATTGAAATGATCATTAAAAAATAATTAAAAGTGCTGAACTATATTTAAGTACCCATTATGCACTTCTACCTCCAGTCAGTTGTAATAACTGCCTTTGAAAAATCATTCCAGTTCCTTGAGGGTTATTTCATGCAAAGAAAAAGGAATATGACCCTGTCGTAATCATTACTTCCTGAAGCATGTCTTGGGAAACTAATTTTTCAATCACTTTCCCTTATTTTTAAAAGCATCGCTAGTTACTATATTGGTTTTTAAGAGATTAGTCTTCATGTTGACATCATCATTAAGTACAATAAATCTATATATATTATACAGAGACAGGTAATAAAGATGCTGCTTATTTTAATGCTGCCATCCACCAGTCATGTAAGTTTGCTCAGGACACATTTCATTACAGGCTTCTACTACTCATTCTTAATAAAAAGAATAATGTCTTCTCTATTTCACTTCATAGTGGTTTTGCAAGAATTAAATTAATTCATATCTACAAAAGTTTCTTACTATTTTTAAAGTACCATGTTCTAAAATAAGAAACTAGAAAAACACCGTGTTACTATTTTTTAAAAAAATACTAGCTATTGTGATAGAGAATTGATGCCTTGGAGCTGTGATGCTGGAAAAGAGTATTGAATATACCATGGACTGCTAGAAGAACAAACAAGTTCATCTGAGAGAGTGTGAAACCATGCTGGTCCTTGGAGGCAAGGATTCTGAAACTCCACTTGACATACTTTAGGCATGTTGCAAGGAGGCACCAGTCCTTGAAGAGGGACATCATGTTTGGGAGGGTGGAGGGACAGAGCAGGAGAGGAAGACCCTGGATAAGATGGATTGACTCAGTAACTGAAGTAATCGGGTAGATGGTCAGAGACAGTAAGACTGGCTCAGGATAGATCAGGGTTCAGAGCTGTTGTACAAAGGGTGCTATGAGTCTCACATATCAGCATATAACAACAACATTGTTGTTAGCCTTGTTATTATATAAATAACTCTTAAAAAGTCCATCTGTGTTGGAATTTTTGCTTTGATCTGTACTTGTGCATTGTTGTTATTGTTTTGTGCCATCAAGTTGAGACCTACTCATAGCTGACCCTCCAGTGGAAGTAACTCACACAGTAAGAGGCAGTAAACTACAACTAAACAAGAGGAAATCACCCATCTTTCTCCTTCGTTGAGCAGCTTATGGATTTGAGCCATTGGTAACAGCACTGCCCTTTACCAATTGACTTCCAGAGATGCCATTTGAGTGTTAGTATACGCAGCACAATGCAAAATATGAACTTACTATTTTCGCTGCTCACTTAGAAGATCTGAACTTAGGTGTTTTGCTTCTAATCAGTGAGTCATGGAACTTTGGCTCATCAGCTAAACCAACGTGCTATGGTCTCAATTTTTATAACATAGAAATGGTATCAGATTCTATGTTCTTCATGAAGGGAATGAAGAGATAAATCTGAATTTCAGTTCTAAGAATTTCAAACTAAGAGCTGGAGTCTGGTAATTTTAAACTCAGCTTCACAATTAAAAGACATCAATAACTAATGTTCAAAATTAACTCTTGGTGTACATAAAAAAACTTCTCCAACAAGGTAAAAAGGAAATTCACAGAGTGGAAAAAATATTTGGTAATGACATGTCTAATAAAGGACTTATATATAGAATTTATAGAATATTCAAACACCCCAACAAGATAAAAGTAAACAACCCTATCAGAAAATGGGCACAAGATATGAACAGATACTTCACCAAAGTAGACATTCAGATGGCGAACACACACATGAAGAAATGTTCAAAATCTCTAGATCTAAGAGACATGAAAATCAAAACAAGTAAGAGTTATCATCTCACTCTAGTAACAATAGCAAAGTTCAACACAGCATCAAACAACAAATATCGGCGAGGTTGTAGAGAAATTGGAATCCTATTTACTGCCGGTAGGCGTGTAAAATGGTGCAATCACTATGGAAGACAGTATGGCACTTTCTCAAAAAGCTGGAAATAGAAATATCATTTGACCCAGCAACTGCACTACTTAGAATATACCCTAAAGAAACTACTACTGTCACTCAAACAGATATATGCACACTCATGTGTATTGCTGTGTTGTTCACAATAGTAGAGATGAAAGTAACCCAGGTGACCATCAACAAATTAATGGATAGAGAAGCTGTGGCATCATCACACAATGGAATAATACTAGGCAGCACTGAAAAACAAGGAACTCATAAAATATTATACAAAATGAGTGACCCTGGAGAACATTATGCTGAGTAAAATCTCTCATTCACGAAAGGACAAATACTGCATAATGCCACTGTTATAAAACAGGACTGACATGGAGGTTGGGGGAAACTAAGAAGAGAAGGGATAAATAATGAACACTGCATTGAAATAGATGAGGGAAAGAATTGTCTGAAAGAAATATATGATTCGGTTTTATTTGTATGACAATAGTCCGAATAAGAATAAGCAAGTGGACTGGGGGGTGGGGTGGGAGCAGGGAGAAGATTGTGCAACAGTGAAAGAATTTTTTAAAAGGAAAAGCAAAAGGGGGGTAGGGAGGAAAATGTGCAACAATGAGTGAATGAGAATCCAAGTTTTCTGTAAGCTTTCATCAAAATATCAATACCTGGCAAGAAGCTGCAACTACAGTCTCAGAGGTGCACGATTCAAATCCACCAGATGCTCTGCTAGAGAAGGAGGAACAATCTCCTCCTGTACCAGTCAGATCTGATTTGACGGTACACACAAAAAATAATGAAATAAAAGAAATTTTTTAAAAAAATATATCAATACCAAAAGGGTGGTGGGGGGAGAGGATAACCCTTGGCTTTATAGAACTTCCAAACCTCCAAGAGAAAGGTTAAATGCTATTTCCTTAATTCATAAATGAAAGCCTATCAAATTCTGTGCTAGCACTGATAGCAAGTTGTCATCTCAAACTATAATTATCATCATTATTGCTTAATCTTGGGTTGACTTTAGTATATTCTAGAAGTGACTGATTAGTGATAGATGGTTAACAGCTTCTGCTTGCTTGGCTCCACAAGCAACACTCTTGGTACCAGCAGCCAGGAAATCAAAAGACAAACTGCATTCGAGAATCTGCTGTCAGGGACCTCTCCAGAGTACTGAAAAGCATTGATCTCAGTCTAGAGACTAAGGTACAACTGATCCGGGCCTGGTCTTCACTGTTACTTGCTATACATCAGAGAGCTGGACAATGACTAAGGATAATAGAAGATGAAACGATGCCCTTGAGTTGCAGAGCTGGAGAAGAATATCTAATTTACCGTCCACTGCTAAAAGAACTAAGAGGTCTTGTTCTGGAGAGGGTGAAACCAAGCTGCTTCTACCTTTCTCATTAATGGTATTTCTATCTTTCGCTGAGCCTCTACTTTACCAACCTTTACTATCTTTCACAACCCTCTGCCATTTGTGTAGTAGCGAGTATTACATTTGTAGTAGTGAAGTGTTTCATCTTCCTAATCCTGTGAGTAATATGCCCAACCAATTTTTATGTAAGTACTTCAGTTACTAAAATAATTACATTCACATTGATGTTATATGCATTTTCTCTTTTACTTACTCTCCTAGAAGACTTTCTATTTCTTAATATGAGGCATATTATCTTTGCAAAACTACCACCATTTTATTTGTATATTTGGCATATAGGGAGAAATCGGCAAAGAAATGTACATCATCAAACATGGAGAAGTTCAAGTTCTTGGAGGCCCGGATGGCACTCAAGTTCTAGTTACTCTGAAAGCTGGGGCAGTGTTTGGAGAAATCAGGTATCTGAAAGTTGTTTTATATATAATCAAGTCAATTATTTGTTTTAAAATAAAACTCTTGACTCATAAGTGAAGTCCTAGTTCAAGTTTACTAAATGTTTGATTGTGCTGAAACAATCAGTTAAATAAGGATTTTCACACTTCTTTTCATTCCCTCCCACAAAAGAGATTATGTTTCCTATAAAAAGGGCCATTCAGTTCTATAGTACTAGGACCTACATCAGTGCTTGACCCAAGAGAGATGCTTAATATTGCATGAAACTCATTGTTATCCAATAAAAACAACTCGTCATTCACCTTCCTTTGTGTTTCTGAGGATATAAATCACATGGGAGGAGAATGCTCATCTTTTTTTCACAAAGTGAATTCAAAATGCCAGAAAGGCTGAGATTTGGGGTTAACAGCACAAATCCCTACAAATTATGTCTGCATAAATGAATTCATGAATTTAAGAGCAAAGATGTTGAGAGAGTTGATCATTCTCAGGTTACTAGAAGACATATAAGAAGGTATTTTCTAGTAGATGAATGGTATAATCTTAGCTGTGGAAACATATTGCCTGACTCTAAAACCCAGTCACTTACCAGTGATGATACATAGACAAGTTATGCAACCTCTCAGCTCCTGGATTTATTAATATTAATATTATAATATGGTATTATA